CCAATTATTTATAGAATTCATAAATTGAAGTAACATTAATAAATGTGATGATATTTATCATCGGTTTCTGTTATGAAATTTAATAAACGACAGGAGAAGGAAAGAGAGAACTATCAATTTTATTGGTCAATGTCACACAAAGTTAGTTTTAGTTGATAAATGAATTTAATGTCCTTTCTACGATTCATGAGGCACTATAGAATTTCCATGATTATTTCTTTTTTCTTTGGTTAAAATCAAATATATATTGGATAATTTTCAATTTGTCAAAATTTAAAAATATTTTCTGAATACTCCGACTCTTCCATTCCCTTTTTTAATTTGCATGAAAAATCAAAAAGTAAATAAATCACCTATTTATTTCCTCTTATTAAGATAATGAGAGTGTTCTAAAAAAGTGCAATGGACAATCTTATAACTTGCAAAGATCATGCAGTCTTGCAAAAAGGCATGCTGTAAAGCTTGTTTGCTTTCTGTTTGTCCGTAAATTCCTCTGCTATATTTAATACTAATATTTGTTGATTTAGATACATGTCAAACGGAAAGATAGAGAAAGAGAAAAGTGTTTTATTAATCCCAAAGTTAATTCAATCGTGCTATTTTTCGACTTTTAAAATTATTTTGGGTAGTTATTTTCTGCATAAATGTTATAACATATTTTGCTAACAAAAATAGCACGGAAAAATTAATTTTGGGATTAATAAACAATCAATACTTTTTTTATTTGATGCAAAGAGCAAAAAAGGGAAGAGTTAATAGATGATAATAATAACTTTTTGTGGCTAATTCCTCCTAGCAATGTTGATGAATTGGTATTGTTTAAGTCGCTCTTACAGTCGCAAATCAATGTTTATTGGATAACTTCCATATGTGTACATATTTTCATTTTATGAATAAACTACTGGGAATTTAAAAATTAATTTCAATGAAATCGATCGAATAACCCAACCCTTCAGTACTTTATAATCTTTGTTAGTTAATTTCTTATAAGTATAGACAAAAATAAGAGAATTATACGAATATTAATGACTGGCATGATATGAGAAATATGGACAATGGATTTGAATTAGAATCGTTCAATGACGAAATTTTTTTCATCATTTGTATTAATATCATTTGACGAAATAGACAAAGCAATCTTTTATATGGAGTATATTCACACAATTAGCTAGTGACAATTAGCTAATATTGGAGTGTTGTAATTAATTTTAATTTATTAGGCGCGAGTGTTTTTTAACTATGAATGAATAGTTATAGGAATGTATTATTTTTAAATAAATTGTGAATTCAATTGGTACTATTGCACGTGAGAAGCAAGTTGCATAAAAATTGATGAATTAGTCTTGTTTCAGGAATTTGCTAATTAAAATACAAATTTTTCATCTCCTCGTAGTTGTTACCTTATGGTGGCGATCATATCCTCGTTAGATCACAGCATTTTAAAAGCTTTCTCGAAGGATGAATTAAGAAAAAAGAATGGTGAGAAATGAATTGACTAACTTGTACATTTTACTATGAAAATTTGAAATTAAAATCACTTTTTGCATCATCACCTGACCAGTACAAAGCTACGAATCTGGTAGACCAACATAAATCAATTATTCTATTACTTTGTCATAGTACAGCCTACAATCTTTCATTTTAACGGTGATAAATTTTGCTTTTTTTCTCTCAATTCAATATCACTTGACATTTTCAGGCAAACATGCCAGAAGAGGATTATGTTGCCCATCATTACTTTACAAAGTGCTTAACCCAAAGTAGTTGATGATAGACGAATTTAGGTTAACTGAAAACAGGTAACTTAAGTTAGTCAACAGCACATAAAACATGATCGAAAGTTCCCATGAGGTGTCTTGATGAGAAATTAAAGCCCAATGTGGAAATAGTTGATAACAGGATTAAATCCGGCGAAATAATTAAACAAGATTGGAATTTTAGGATCTATGCCAATGTATTATTTGAAAATAAATAAAATTTCACGATTTGCCGTGACTAAAAATTTTCTTAATGCAGCAGTTTATTATATTTACAGGATCGCTACCTGACGGGAACAATGACACAGAAACGATCTCAACCAGATGCTGATTTCGCTTATGTTGACGATTTCGATCCAACACAAATATTCCTATAAGAATGCAATCCGTTCATTGATAAATGAATACCATTAAAAAACATCCCGAATATCCTCATGCTAATAGTGCGATAATAACGTCTGATGATGTAAACGCTATTGCAACTGTTTGACACTTCATATTTTATAAAATTTGATTTTATCTCAGCATCGTTTATTCACTTCATTATTTGAGAGGTGATGTGAAAGAATGAAGTGAAGACAGAGCACTTTAATCTTTCATCAATATGACAAAATACTGGAGGATAATCAGTGGGAGAGATTTCCTGAGAAGTGTCGTCAATTTTAAAAGACTATTAAAATTACCACAAAATTCAAAGTGATACAATCTTGACTAAATTTTAACAGTTAATGTTAGAAGATTATCTTCCAAATTTTTCTCTTCCAATTTCTACATTGGGACAAGACATTGGTAGTTGTAAATATTTCAACAGAATACAAACAGTTCTAGTACGAATTTGCATATCATTTCCATCTCCCCTTATTTCAACATAGAAATCTGATAGACATTTAAAAAAATTCAAACTCCTTATTTATTTCTTCTTTCGCATTGTTTTTTGTTCGATATTGTAGAAAGAACTGAAATTAAAAATTATTGGGAAGGAAAATGAAATTGGCATGACTTAACGAATCTAAATAATAGATAAACATTCTTTTATACATATAACGCAATGCATGATCTATGAACGATGAAATAATGTAAAAATAACGGAAATTTAAAGAGAAAGAACTTGGCAATTTAAGTGATGGAAAGCGGAAGGAAGGAAGAAGGACAATACTGACTGTAATGAAGGAAGCAAAATTAAAGGAAAAAGCAATGGACGACGGTATTGATGAATTCTTGCTCTAAAAAGAGCAATTTTCGGTGATGTTTATTTACCACTGATCAATCAAGCTCTTCCAACATTGAATGTTACCATTTATATTTCATAAATGCTTTATAAGTGATATAGCATCTACTAATTAATAGACAAAACTCAGATTTTAAGTCACACTATTCAAAGATAGCAAAATTAGTTGGTACAAATAATGGACAACTATGTTCACTCGTCGAATTCTGATATACACATCTTGAAAGCGTTAGATTTTCGATTCTCAAACTGTCCATAGATAATCATTCAAAATGAGTGCTCAAAATTATTGCTAATCCAGATAAATGAAATGAAAGTAACAATTTTTTTCGAGATACCTATTAAATTATTGAAGATAGAATCATCCCAATATTCAAATATGAAACAATATATGTAGCTATTTCATTCAAAGAAAAAATTTTCGCAACCAATTAATCACGTATTGGACATTGTTCATATTGGACATTAAATCATTGTTCATGATTTAAAACCACTAGCTGAGGTCTCTAAACGTAAAAGATATAAAAGATACACGCATAAATTACTGCTTACTGACGGCTTTTTTAGAGTTAGGCATAGCTGAAAAATAAATCTAATGCGGATAGATTTACATAAAGTCTCCAATAACTTTTTTCAGCCATTATTAATTATGCATATTTGATTCTTTAATCAAAAAATGAAACCTCTTACTGACCAAGGAATCAATTTTGTTTTGAAAAATGAGACTCATTATCACCTCTATTAAAAGTCAAGACATCTTGATATGGTTTAAACAAAATTGTTCTAAAAATGAGCCCACAGCAATAGTAGATACTTTATTTAAGTACTGCTTGAATCCGTACTTAATTAAGAGATATGACTATTATCATATTTCACTTGGCTAAAGGGAAAGAAAAAACAGAGTCAGGTTGAGATTCTTTGTATCTTGAGGGTTGAGTTCACAAGTGGAATAAATTGAAGAAACAACACTTTCCACCCCATTATTTTTCCTGCCTCATTACCATTTTAAATATCGCAATGACTACGTTAAAAGCCTTTGATTACCGCCAGAATGCAATTTAATGTCTCATTGACGATAATTGATAATTTGTTCCACTTCTCGGTGCATTTATTGTTTGATTTTAAATGCAGATTTAGATGCTAAAATTCTCTGTATTTTTACGATGTTTATGAAATGTCTACTATTTTGCACTTGAAGTACGTCAAACACATATAACTAAATGCATATTCGTTTGATTGCATGTGAAAAGTAATGCATGCAACTTACACTTATTTGTAGAAAATACGGATGTGTACCTATTCCTTTGATTTCATGTAAAATGCGGATAAGTAGGTGCTTGATTGATTATGCGTGAAAAATGCATGGGATATGTTTTTATTGAACCTCAGGTGAAAAGCTGTTTTTGAACGAACTCAGTTATTCCTAAATTAAAGGTGTTGCGGGAGCGAAAATTCTTAGATTTCTGGATTTATGTCGGTAAGCATTCCTCCTACTCATTTGTTTTTATCTTGGAAATTGTTTTATCATTTAAATTAAATTTCGTAAGTAAAATTTTCTGATATCATTAAATACGTCAAGTAAGATTTTAATTGTAAAAATTAAAATTTTTTCCATGAATTTCGAGAAAATTTAGTTAGATTTTCTTTATGCGCCTGGAAGACATGTGTTACATTTACTGTGGTTCAATGGTAATTTCGGCAGTAACGAATATGTGCTAAGTAACAAATGTAAAATAATATTTGGAGTTTAAGTGGATTTTGTCTTTTTTTTTGCATGCCGTGTTATTATAGATGAATTTAGTCAAGTAAATTAAGGTGGATTTTAACTACAAACATCAAGTTAGTCATGGCCGATTCAAGCTCTCCGTATATGGATATGCACAATGAATAACACGATGTATCTTGTACTCTTCATTAACACTGTCCAGAATTGATGAGATTTCAATATCTCACGCCATTATGTTGTCCCGAAAATGTAAGTAAGTGACTATGTTTTCTTCTAGGGTCTTTGAAAAATGCGTAAATTTCGACTATTTCTACGATTTCTATTGAAACGATCTGGTACTATAATTCTGCGGTATGGTCGTCCAGCATTAAAAAGTGAAGTGCTTGGTCGTGGTTTAACGGTTTGTTTTATATTACTCTTCTTTTCTTTTAATTTTTTGACGTTTCTAAATTTAAAGTAAATGGGCGTCAGGAAGAAATTAAAATATTATAGTTTACTCTGCGACCATCATTGCGGAAGTAATAGAAATTGATGAGATGTGTGTCCAAGTTTTGTACTTCGGTGGAGAAATGTTGTAACATCACTGATCTTTAATATAACATCATTGATCATTAAGGCATTCCATTTAAGACCATACTTTTGCTTATCTCATTGTTGGTAGAAAGATGCCACATCATATACCGTACTATATATAATAAATCCGGACTGAACGGAATCAAGTTATCTGAATTCTGAACGAATTCCTTTTGAATAAATAAAAAGTTTTAGATATCTTTTTTGAATTTATTTTTTCTGATTGTTTTTAAGCTCTGGGGGCGAATTATAATACGACCATTTGCGTTGACAGGATATCAGAAGAACTGGCGAAGCAATTATTTTTTAGGTATCAACCGGCGACATACTTCTCTACTGAAAATCTATTCTAAGCTTGAAGCTTCGGAAAGAATTAAAGTATATTTTTTTCATCTATATTTGCTAAGAGGTAAAAAAGCTACCTGGTTAATGAGCTTGGTTATCTATAAGAGGAATTATCAGTTATGTGGAAGATGTGGAAGAATGGATTTCTCAGTTATAAAACGTCTGAAAAGCATTTCCAGAATTCATTTGTTGCTGATTCTGATTTCGACTCGCAGAAGTTTAAGTTACTTATGAAGAATTTTTTCATTGTCAGAAATCTTTGCATTTCTCTGTTTCATTGATTGGAAAGACTGTAATAATATATTTTTCTTTTTCAGAAGTTATTTTTAACAAACACGAGGTACAATAGCGGATTGCCAGCTGCAGAAATACCCAACAGGCTCGAGGGCTACGAAATAGGTGAGAACTTTAATATATATTATTGAAATATTTCCCTATTTCTGTTTCTCGTTCATCAACACTTATTCACTCTTTGCTGCATACTTTTCCCACTTTAAAATGAAATAGCGGAAGTAGGCGAAAAGGAAACTATCTTACATCCACATCCATCACTGAACATTTTAACCGAAAAATCTAATGATTTCTAGGTTAGTTTCATAGTGGGATAGGGAGCTTGCTTTAGCTTTTTTTCTTAATAAAGCAGTACCGATTTTATTTGAATTTCAAGGTAGTAATATTGCTTGCGGTTGTGATGCTGCTGTATATGAAGCACGTATACGTACGTTGGAAAAAGCTGAGAGGCTCCCTTCCAGCATTTATACAGACTTACCACGCACTTCATCTTTACGAGGGAAACAATCGGTTACGGATGATCCTATTGTTGTTAGTTTTTTTTTCAAAAAAACTTTTGTCGGCACAACTCTAAATAATGTGTTTATTTCTGAATATGCAGAGTCCGAAGATTTATAGGCGATGAAATCCATTTAGATTTTAGATAAATTAATAATATACATAGCTTCAATATATTCGTTCTTTCCTTCAAATCCCTTCTCTTGGTTTATCCAAATTTAAAAACAAAAAAGAATAGCTTGAAACGCATTGCATTAGTTTTTTTCCTTCTTCAAATACCTTTGAATAAAAAACGCAGGCATATCCATATGCATTGAAAATAATGTATAATTATGAATTCGATGCGTCAGAAAGACATCTGTGGATGGATATGGGTACCGAATTAGTACCATTAATCGAAAAACCGCCAGAGCTCATTGGTTACATGGCCAAGTAAGTAAGCATTTTCTAATTAGTTTTTATGTTCATTATTTTTTAAAAGTAAAAAGTTCATATTGTTTTTCAGTAAGAAAAAATTAGAATCACGTAATAACACTGTTAGTATACTGGAAATTAAAAATTTTACAGTATGAGCTTTTTGCCGCACGCGCATCCAAATATAGTACAAATGTATAAAGCATTCACGGATTGCATGCCGGTATTGGAAGACGCTCGACATTTATACCCAGAAGCTCTGCCAACAGCTGACTTTTATGAATTGATCATTGATGAACCGAAAACATTGTTTATAGTTATGAGAAGGCAAATAATTTGCGATACTTCAGTAACTTGCATTATTTAAAGTTCTTAAGCTAATTTTTACATAATATTTTTGCTGATTTTCTTGCTAACCTTGACTTTTTACTTATTTTGTAGTGGAAGGGGTGGGTTGAAAAAATTAGAGCAAATTGTTACTTTGTTAGATATGGAGAGAATTGCTTCATTTTATGTTTCAGAAGCTTATTGCTAGAAATTTTAAATAATGCTTTAGATTTCAGGTACCGAATGACTTTACGACAGTATATACTTACACATAAAAGAAATTATTGGTTCTGTAAAGTTATGTTTGGACAACTTCTGGAAGCAATTGTTTATCTTTATGATCATCGAATTAGTCATCGTGATATAAAATCAGACAACATTCTACTCGATTTTAATGCCGATGGTAAGTTTTTCATTAATTTTTCTTTTATTATTTAACTAATCCCTAATTTTAGGCACATCTAAGTCGTATTTCATTCAGTTCAAAGTTGGCATCCTATATCTTTTTTTTAAGCAGTCATTTTTTTTATATTCTAGAAATGACTTCCAGGAAGTTTCTTCTGTTGTCTTTCAAATGTTATATTTGCGAAATATCCTGTTTAGATGATGTTCCACATTTGGTATTGAGCGATTTTGGTTGTGCATTGGCGACGGGGACTTGGAAAGTACGTTACGATACTGATACAGTTTACCTTGGAGGAAATTTGGCATTAAGAGCTCCAGAAGTAAATTGTTTGATAATTTATTCGACCTCTGATCGTTTTCTTCAAAAGTTAATTGACTTGGAAACTTTTTATGATTGAAAAAATTCAAAACATATAAATTTGTAATGTTCAGTTGTTGTCTCTTCTACATATCTCTTGAAGTACTCCTCACATAATACGTCATCCAATAGAAACTTTTGTGGTCAACTTTTCATCCTTTTTGGGAAAAATATCTGTCATGTTACTTCCATTGAATTATGAAGTTGAAGTTAGCAAGGTATGCTAAAGGAGCGGCAATCACAATACCTTATGCTAGTTTTAATTTCACTTAACCGATCTCTCTCATTGGAATTCTGTTGCTACAAAGCCTGCATAAAAAGGCAAAAAGTTTGCAGATCCGTTGTGCTTACCCAGCTCCCAACAATTGGGTTGATTTTCGTATGGCAGATCTTTGGGCTGCTGCTACAGTCGGATACGAAATTTTTACCAGGCAACAGTTTCCTTTTGAAATTAGTGGGTTAATTAAATGCAAATTATTCTAAAGTGAGATACATATCTTTATATTACGTAATTAAATGCATAGCAGTGATTGTCGACTGTATGATCTGTAAGGAGAAATTTGTAATGCACTGAAAGCTCAAAAATCAATTTCTAGATTTAAAATATATTTCTCAAATTATTTCTTAGTTTCCTACAAACTTGGTCGTTTAAATTGCTCAAAATCATGATAAAGCAAAACAAAACCTTCGAATCATTTTGCAGAGCAAATCCATTCTACAGTCGTATGAGAAGTGATCAATATATGGAGTGCGAACTGCCGCCATTACCGAGGAAGATGGATTGTTCGATAAAAGCAGTTATTCGGAATATGTTGCAAATTGATCCAAATAAAGTAATGCATGTTTTAATATTTTCTTCGCAAAAATTGCCTAATTAGAGAGGTTGACACAGCTGATTCAGTTATATTATCAATTATCTACAGTCATGATCGTTGATGATGATTATATGATCTTTAGGGAGGAATTCGTAATGCATTGAAAAGTCAAAAATTAATTACTAAATTTAGAATATATTTCTCAGATTATTTCGTAGTTTCCTAAAAATTTAAATAACAGTCATACAAGAAGGATACTGGTCGAAAATATGAAGGCACACTGACTTTTCTCACTCAAGTTTGATTACAGCATTTAAACACTTTTCAGCGACCAAGCCCATCTGTTGCGGCAAATGTTCTTAGCATATCACTGTTCCGGTTTGGTCATGACTTGCGACAACTTTTTGATGATTGTGGTTTCAATAAAACTTTGTTTGGTGCAAAAATGAACGATCTGAAGGTTGCGGCAAGTAAAACTTTAAAAATGGTAGGTGATCCGATAAAATGCAGATTATATTTAGAGTTAATCTATTGACAAGATATAAGCCTTGTCAAATGATTTAAGTGATTGTGGTCGGAGGAGCATGACTCTACCGGTTCTGAATTTATCCAATAGTGCAGATAAGCCAAGAGCGAAGGAAAAGTGAATCGATGACAGCAAAAATTTGATGGGATATTGTCTTTCAGTTTACTGATATTTGACTTTGGCTCATTGATGATTTATTCCTATAAAATTGAATTTTTTATTTTTTATTAAAATGATATAAAGAAGAGAATGGTCTCTGCAAGTCCTTGTAACATATATTAAGCTTCTGGGAAATATTACAATAGTACTTAATTATGCAAAATTCCTACAGAATAAAATTCCTAAAACTTTTATGCACATCATTTTCAAATTATTTCATTAAACTGATTTTTTTTAATTTAGCTTCATGAAAAGGTAACAGCGTCAGTGAGTGATTTCATTCTGCTCTTTGCTGTGGAAACAATATTGGCTCGAAATATTCATCCAAATGTGATCAGTACAGCGGAATTGCAGGTTGTTGCTTTGATTTTATCAATATAAGAATACTTGAATTTGCAAAATATTCTCCTCTCCGTGTGTAAATATTCGTCACGGATATATTATTGACTCAAAATATTCATCCAAATAGGATCAAAAGTGAGTTTGAAATTTCTCCCCAATTATAGTAGTTCAAAATATTTGTTTTCTGAAGATTATTTTTTGATTCAGTTAAAAATTCTATATGGCCAAAGATTGTGATTGTTTTACATCCGTTAGAAATTGATAAATAGTAGGAATAAAAAGAAATGCTGATTATTTAATGTGATATTGATTAACTCTATTGTAGGTCTTGTGAAATGTATTGTTAGCCTCTCTTATTAGCACATCATATGAGCGAAATAATATGAGCTCCCTCATTGTCAGCCTTATTAGTCCATGTTATCATCAACTTGTGAACGTTATAATCATGCATCTTCGAAAGTTTATGGCATTGATAAAGCTAATGAATTAGATAAATTTGACTTCTAAAATTGCTCATCTGTAGCTGCACACTTAATGCGGTGAAATTTAATTGCAAGGATGTTTTTAGATTACTCACATATTTTCCGGCATAAGTATGGAGAACAATTCTAATAAGTTAGCCATACAAAAATTTTATAATGCAAATTTAAAAATAGGAGATTTTAAAAAGTGAATCTCTAAATAGTCGCGAAATAATGCATCGCTGCACAAAACCGATGATTGTCTTACAAAAATTTGCTTATTTTTTGTTGCGATATGTTTTACTAGGCTTAGTGTAATTTCTTATTGTTGCTTATATTGCTTTTGTCAACATCGAATCGAGTTATCATGGCTAGGTTGAAATTATAGGCTGATGGCATATTCGTAAATTTTAAACAGCAGCGTTGACGGCATAATTCCAGCAAATGATGCATTCGAAATAATTGTTGAAGATAAAGGGAAGTATGGAAATTTTTTTATCTGAGGTAATAATTGTCACTTTATTTTCAGCTTCGTGCAACATTTCTATCTCGAATTGAACACGAATGTATTTGGTCAGCTTTGAGTTATTTTTGCGATGAAGTCAATTTATCAGGAAATTGTGCAAACGTTTTTACTACAGAAATAAGTGATCCGACATTTGCAACTGGCGACTCGATAAATTCTATAAATAATCTTATTAGGACGTGAATTTTTTTATTTTTCTTAATGTAATGATAAATAATTTATTTGTTGGGGGTGGGGGAATTACTGCTAAATGGCAAGTACAAGGTCAGTTTATTAATGGTTGAATAGGAATGAGCTGTAGTTAATTTCTGATTGATTCTTAAGACTTTGTAGGAAGACAAAATTTGGTGGTAAATATTTTGTTGAGTTTTAGTGAAAATTTTGACCAGCTGAGTGAAGTTTTGATGGAAATTCTGACTTAGCTGGTTGATTTATTATTTACTCAATTTCTGAATTTTTCTTGTGTTTAATATTGAACTTTTGCAGTCCGGTTTTTTTTCTTCTTTCATCTCATGACCTCCGAATTTGCAACGAAGAAATATGATATAATTTGTGAGATCACTTATTTTAATGCTTTCATAATTTGAAGTTTTATGAGAATTTTATTTCTTTATTACGAGTTTTTTGAATACGAATGCAATATGAGTTTTTATGCATTCCTAGATCATATATTTCAGGATTCTGTGATGCATCTTGTGTTCTTTGGTAGATTTAGTTTTTTCTCTTCAGAGCTTATGACGTATAGAGATAAAGTGGTTTTATACAATGCTGAAAGTCAATTTTATATGCTTCAAGTTGGCGCTCACTTTTTTTTGTTGTTTTTATATGAATATAAATAGTATGTGATTGAAATGAAACTTCATTTTAAGGTGTTTGTTTTGTGAATTTCCAAGTTATATCTTCTTGCAGTATTACATTTCCAAATTTTTGCTCATTAATACTTTCAATCTCCAAATTTTTGCTTATTAATAGAGGAAACTTACCCATTTGTTGATAATATTGTACGATTTATCTCCTTTGTTAATTTTCCTAAAAGATTACTCAGTGAAATCCCAGTCCGTGAATGCTCATGTTTTAGATTAAGTTATAACTTTTTTCGATCCATAGCTTATTAACTGCTTTTGTTGCTGTAATTGTTTATTCATTTCGGAGTTGCAGCATAGAAAAAATAGGTAAGAGTTTAGGAGAGCAGCTGAAGTCGTGATAAATAACCTGAGCGATCATACTACGACACAATACCTTTTTTGATATTGCGAAAAATTTAGGCATGAAAATGAAGATGTAGAAAGTGTGTAGGTATGTATTCTAACATATATAATAAAAGGTAAAATATTGGAAAGCTAGAGATACTAGAGTTGAAATAAAAAAGCTAGAGTTGAAATAATGATAGTGATAGTTACTAGCCGATGACAGTCTTGTACTTTTTAACTACGATTTGATATATCGGGAATTATTTTTTCAAGTACTTATATATATATATATATGCTCTACAATATATGAAGAAAAAGTTTCGAAATAATTTTAAGTCCCTAACTCAATAATTAATTGATTTACTTGCTGTTTTAATTAAACTCGAAATCATTCCAGTTATAAACCATAGTAGTTAAAGTTAAAGTTAATAAGCATAAGAAAAATGCTTCTGAGTAATGGAGAAGGTTACATTTATTGTATTTTTGAATATATATCAAACATTTTACTCCTATTTTATTACATAGTAGTTTGCAAACAGTAAATAAGAAGTATAAAAAAAAGTTTCGAATTAATCCAAAAAATTCTTTTGCATCCAGAAAAGCGATTAGATATCTGGTAATGGGAAAGAAAGAAATGTAGGAAAGAAAAAGATTCAAAACCCTATTATTCAGTAATGGATGAACAATAATGGTGTTGGAATGACGGAAATGAGAACGGATTGAAAGTGAGAATGGATTGGAAAAATAACATTTTGGTTGATAAATTTTACTGATAATGATGCGAAATTTTTTAGTAATAAGAGAAATCTGTTAATAAGAGAAATTTTTCCAATAGCAGCATTATAATCATGACTAGTGATAACGTAAGCTGTTTTGTATCACCAACCTTCCTTATTTACAATCAAACAAAATTGGGATTCAATTGATTTTGGTGGTGTGCTGTATTTAATAATTATTGTAAGTGATTAAATAAGATGACTATGTTATTGTTGCTGCTGCTATTGTTGTTGTTGCTGTTGTTATTGTGATTGTTAAGCATGAGCTTAATTAAATTGGCTTTGTCTAGCTTTTTAATTACAATATAATTTAGCTTGCAAACACTGGAAATAATTACCTGGAAATAAATTCTAGAACTTGCTAATTACACTAGTGCGATGCAGCCTGAAAATCAACAAGCTACCTTAATTAATTCGATTGTATTTGTAAGACTAATTTTGGATTTTCAAATTTAGTTTTTGCAGACTCATCAAATATCAGTTACCATTTAGTGATAGAGGTAAAGGTAGGGATAGATAGATAGAGAGGGGGATGTTGTGACAAGTGATTCAAAAATGCTATGCTAATGATACGATGTTATTTGTTTGCTACAAAAGTAATCGCACTTTTGGAATGCAAATTTGAAATTATTATAACTATACTTCGCAAATTTGAAATCATTATTTTAATTAGTTAAACCTAAGATCCATAACTATGAAACATATTTTTCAGCAAGAAATAGGTTGTTTATTTTTGTAGCATAGGAATCGATCCATACATCAAGTCTTACCGAGATACTTACCTGGATCGAATGCATTATTGATATTGCCAACTCTTTTCACTGCTCAATGATATGACCCCCTGAAACACGCTTTCGGTCTGAAAATTTTTTTAATCTTAGAAGTAACAGCGAATAAATTTCTAGCAGAAAATATTGACAAGGAAATGACCATAAGAATGATATTATAATATCATCAGTTTTACTTTTCAGTACGAAAGTAGCAAAGTCGAATAAGTGCAAAAGGCAGTTGCTTTTAATCATCATTGCATATTTCAGTATGAAGTATTTTTCTTTTCGACACCCATCCATTCTTCTAACTTTAGGAGAACAGTCGAATAATTTAGATAAGCTCTTCTGCTTGAAATGATTGGTACTCAGCAAAAAAATAATAGTTGGAAATCTCATCAATCCTAAATGATTTTTATTTTCATATACATTCCTGATTCGCTTCATCTTTTTAACCATTCAATGTTGTGTTCATTTCTCGAGATCAGGATTAATGATCTCAAAATCAACCTGTTAGTTGTAATTATCGTCATTTATATGTGGCTTATTTCGTATTTCGCTTATTTTATCTTACGCATTCGTATAATTCGAAAGTTTGTTCTGTCTCTTAAAATCTCGAATAAATTGTTTGATTTGGATATGATCGGTCATGCGACCATTGATTGGTTCAACAGTGTAGTTACATATTTTCCTGTACCATTCGATATTTTATAGATGCATGAACAACAACAAGTAACGAGTGACGATTTCAGTGGTACGGAATCATCATTATCATCCGGACCTAATCGGTTACTTTTTTGTATGATTGAAGAAAAAAATAAAGAGTTTATGGTACTTTATGGATATCAAAAAGTAAAAAAGAAAAGAAAGTATGATAGTAGGTTCAGAAAAGTAAATCAGTCGTTCTGAAAACACTGATTGCTTAGTGGAATTATCAGATGATATCTTTACTGTCCTAATAGTATACGTTCTTTTAATCTTTTCGCTTTTTCCTTCATGATTAATATTCTATTCTCATCAATAACAGATAAGCGGCATTGAAATATTGTTATTCAAGTTACAAATTTTCTTACCTATTTTTCAAGAGCTGTTTAGATTTCAAGTAAGGTTTGCGATTTATCCAGTAATATTTTAAGTTCAAATAAAGGGACAAAAAAATGTTTCTGCAGGGTGCAGCAAGATATCCTGGAGACTTTGTCAGCATCAGATCGTAGTGATGGTGAGCGTCTACGTCGACATTTGCAATTCTTTTTTATGGATCCGATAACGAAGTGGAAAGTGCGCCATCAATTTCCCTTCAAATTAGTCTTACAGATTTTCAAAATTATTTTTATTTCTATACAAGTAAGAACTATATTTTTTCATGTATTTAATGTGCTGGGATTAATTTTGTGGTTGAAATTAATATGATATTTCTCTCCAAATTTATATCCTATTTAATTTTTCATACTTCCTTAAGGAGTGGTCATACTTGAGTATGAGAGAATATTTTTGAAATTTGTAAGAAATATATATCGAACATAACTCGGATTTTCTCAGTTTATAGAAAAAAGAGGTTCCATTTCCATGCAAAATAGAAAGTGCTTTTGGTACCATGATTTTAAGCATTTTCGCACTAAATTCAAAAGCACTCATTTTGTATAGAAATTTTCAAATCATTCAGAAAATTTGTGAGAAATTACTAAAATGAAATAATTGAGTGAAAAAAAATGATTAAGATTATGAAGATACATGTCTGTTGCCGTGAATGAATTAATGCAAAATCTTTAAAAAATTGATATGGAAAACTTCTTGTATAAAAAGTAAGTCAATATTTATATTAGGCAAGCTAGAGAGAAGCAAGAAGGGGGGAGTTAATATGCTGCTGTACACGTTTCCTTTTTCCGTCAATTTAATGACATTTCTGTCCGTCAGATAATTAAAACTTTATAGATATAAATAATAAATTCTAATTGCGTTTCAGTAAATCGAGAGCATTATGCAGATGATTACTGCAAACGGTACCGAGATTGTTTTTGTTGTATGCATCAACAGCAACTGCCATATAATTCAGTTGAAAATTTAGATACTTTTGCCGATAATCACGTTGTAAATACATAAATTGGGAAAACCATGATTCATCACTTGTAGCAATCACCTGTATCGCAGATAGTTGCTATCAATTATTTCTTATTAACTTAATAAATTTACATGGTTTTCTTTGCAGCTAGTACTTTTTGCCGAATTGCGTATTTCGCATGTTGATTTTATGGATGAAACAAACACAGTAATCCGGCACAAATTTTTGAAAAATTGGAATGATGAGCGTGATACACTCATTTATCCACCTTCATCTGGTCGGTATTCTGTTTTCACGGGCACTGATATTATTGATCAGTTTGCGTTTATGGTTGTTGCTGTAAGTTTTTCTTTTTACGATCATAAATTATTTGTAGTTCATGCAGATCTGAAAATTTTCGAGAGATAGCAATTATTAATATCGATTCCATGAGATTTCAGGAGCTAATTTCTAAAAAACGATTCAAAATTTTAATTTTAATAAATCGTATTGATGCTATATATATATATATATCTGTTCTAGTATTATTCGATCAAAGATGATTCATTCGCCAGTTTTTCATATGATACGCTAAAAGATCAGGACAACTATTTTCCTGTTAAAGTATATGATCCGAAATTTACTAGCAGCATTTCCTTTGATGACATACCACCAATGCAGTTTTGCTTGCAAAAAATTGCTAATGTGACAGTTTTCAACGATACTTATGAATTCGATATTTCAGAAATTAACGGTAAGGAAGTATTTGGTTAAAACTATGTATAATATTTCAAATTTTACTGATATTTACTTGGGAATTTTTTTGCAATGACTGCGTACAGTTTTTTATCTTTTTACGTTTTTTATATGGAGGCAGCACTTTTAATAGAAATTTAAGAAATGAGGAAATAGTTTAAAACACTAAGTTGTTTCATATGTCCTTTCATACGTCAAAATGTAAAAAAATTTCCTTTTGATACCCGCGTGGTTGTCCAGAATATGATTAGAAAGGTCATCACTGAGAAGTAAAATTTTTTTTGGCAGACAGATGTTTTTTGTTGCAACTTTTTTCAGTTTTTTGTTGTAACACATTTGTAGATTGTGTATTATTGAAATTTAATAAAAACGAAGTGAAGGAAGTCCGTCGAAATGCAAGCTCATTGAAAAAATTCCTTGAAAAGCGGCAAATCACATTTAAACCTGAGGATGCTCTGATTATATCGAAAGGTGTATTAAGCTTCAACTTACGAACCATTCATTTTAATGCGATTTCGACTGATAAACGACCGGAGTGTTTTTTAATTCAGGTGAAATTTTATTAGGTCTTGAAAAATTTGCTATCTTTTCCTATTTGTAGTGTAGTGGCTATCGAACTTTGTGATTTGATTATCATTTCTATTGAATTGCTAAACCGCACTCGTAAATTACTTCCCGCTAAGCTTTCGTTTTTTTACTCAGCTGTTAGTAAACACTTGTTAGAAAAACTGCTACAAGTAAATTGAATGCATTAATCACTTAAATCCAGTATTCAATGATACTTTTTTGGTTTTTTCCAAATCTTAATCTTCACTTTGCACTTGCTGATATTAACTATTTAGGTTTCAATTACTTTCGATAACTCCCGACATACTGGTCAAGTATACATTTCTATGTCAACACTCATCAGTTATATTACTCTTTGCAATGGTCGAGTTATATATAGTATGTA